CATGGGGAGGATATTGAGGAGAGCACCGGAATGTGATTAAACGCACGCTACAGCAAATTACTAATGTGTCCGCTTAGACGCGCCTTCACAATACCGAATCCAATGAACGACCCCCTCTCTCCAACAAGGCCAGCGGAAATGGGAACGAGACTTATATAGGGAGAAGGCAGGCATACAATTGCGCATATCAGTAGCAGTGTTTGGCATTACGCCTCTTAAAAGGTTTCACTTTTTTCCAGTTCAGTAGGTATCTTTCCTCGTTATCGAGAACATACCCACGATAACCACAGGAAAGATCAGATCTCCTGAAAGAAAAGACACCCAGTTGCACGCATACTCGTAAAAGAAGTAGAACTTTTCTGGCCCCCGCAGGCCGGTTTAAGCATTATTGCTTCAGAGTCGTAAAATCGTACCAATTTTGCAAAAATATTGGAGACTGCCATCTTCTTTACTGTCTATCTAAGGTGATTTGGGCCGAACCAGCGAAGATGTCGGTGATGACGGACAGTGTTTCCTGTGAGGATGATCTGCCCTTTCTAATGCGAGCATTCGTCAGGACCCTTTTTGTTGCACGCACATACACGGAGGTAAAAGTATTTGGGTATATTTAACACTTCCATCAGAGGGTTTGAAAAAGCGAAAGGGAATGCGAAGAACGTCACCACAACTGTCAACTGCGTTACGATCTTAAGCGGGTTTGGACACAGCAGATGACAGAGCTAAACGGACCGTCTTCGAAAACATAAGGGACAACCTGATCCCTAGCTCCAGACACGCACAGGTCCAGTGAGGGTGCCATGGATTCCCTATGAAAAAAAGTCACCAAGATAATGAACCATTGCTGTCTGCTCGTCAGTTGTAAATCGGCGCGAATTGTTCCACTAGATGATATTTTTCGCACGCCAGGACTACTAGCGCTCTGTGCTAGTTTCAGAACGCTTTTAATTGTCTGCAGTAGAGAAGATAAACATTGGGTCTGAGTTTGACCGGCTGCAAGCTCTCCTTCCTTTCCAGTCTGCCAATGGTCAGGCTGAGAAAAGCTCACTGAAAATGAGATTTAACACCATGGTTTGCGTGACACTATCCCGCCAACCAACTCGTGTTACATACAGATGCCGATTTCGCAGGAGTTAGAGACGACACAAAGGCGACATCATTAAAAAGCAGTTTCAGCTTAACCCTCGACTAGTAACTTTTAGGGGTATGAATTGGAAAGCGTCCTGATACCTTCAAGATGAGCCTCGTGACGTCGTTTTTAATGAGGAAAGACGAATTCAGGGTCTTGCCGCTCCAAGTATAAAGCGTGTCTACTTAGCTCGCTTGTTATTGCTCGCGGAGAGCTTTCTCACTGCGTACCACGTTGTCGACGTCGTATCGCCTCCGTTTGTATGCAGGCAGAGACCTCTCGCCTTTAGGTAGACTGCCATGAGGGAGCAATTATTCTACCACTATAATCCCCCCCTCCCCCTTCTTTCTTGGTGGCTACTTCTAACCTCTTGACGACCTGATGACCTCTGACAGCTGGTTGGCGTATGCCCACTGTAATTATCCCCTTTTTGGCTCTTGCTTTTTATCTCGGAAGATGGGCTCTTGTAAGAGTTCGAAAGCTCAGGCCAATAAACAAATTGATCCGGTGCTCGACAATACTTCTTCCTGGACACTATGATTCTTACTGCGATAAGGTTCTGTGAATAGAGAGAGCTATTGACTGTCAGGTAAGCATCCTTCTGGAGCAGACAAAAAAACGATGTAATGGAGATAACTTCAACGCCTTCTACAATGCGTCAACAATCGTATCATATCGATGAGAAGGACACTGCGGGAACAAATTCGCCCCCGGTTGTCAGTGTCCACGTCACCCGAGAGACACTGACAGACGACGAAGGCAGAATTAATCCGTACATCGGGACCTCAGGGAGGCCTAACAAGGGAAAATGCTGAAAACAAAGTAGAGAACGGTTAACCCCGAAGTGCTTAGTCCCCCACTGGGGTTGCGTCCAGCTTCATTACTTTCGGAAACCACCACGTCTGACGTTAGGATTTACGAACTAGGTCAGAAACTGTAATGTTCTACAAAGAGTACCTCCTAGTAAAAAAGAGTGCTACAATGACTGAGTGCTAAATGATTGATATGAGCGGCTGGCCCTAAAGGAGCAGTATAGGCAATGTGGCGGCAAAAGCTACAAAGGGCTGCACGAAACGCCCAAAGGCAGCCGAAGAGGGACGATGGCTGAGGCCAGTAGGTGTTGCGCAAGGGCGGAGGTTCGTGCTGCGTCCCTGGTGTACTTCTCTGTGTGTGTGTGAGAGAGAGAGAGGTGGGTGTATGTATGTGTGTGTGTGTGTGTTCGTAAGCGCCAGAGATAGTATTTTGTGCGCTGGCGTGGCCTTTATGGCCCGCGTAACCGTTGAAACCGGAAATGGTGCAGCAAATGGCCCAGCGATGCAGGCACAGAACTAAAATGCCCTGCAGGTGAAGCTGCATGGACGGGAAGTTTTTTCTTGCAAAATAAAGGGGACTATAGGAAGGTGACAGCTGCTGTGGCGTGCGCTTTCACAGACTAGCAAAGTACTTGCATCATCAAAATATGCAGGATAAACATTGCGCGGCATAAGTACGGGCACATAACCGCCAGCGGAAACACAACAAAACCCGAACGATCATGTAGGTTCGCAAGAAGTGACAGTACAACCGCGGGATAAAATTGGTGGGCAGTCAGGTAGTTGTGAAAATGCCCAATCCGAAACCACAGATTAATATCGGGTTAATTTCGAACTTCCCAAATAAGGAAATTTTAATGCTATATTACTCAATTGAATGACCTTAAAATCATCACTCAGAAAGGGGAAATCTAGCACATTTCAACTTAGCAAACTGACATGAACATAATCAGAAAGCTGCAAGCTTTGCATGGTCATCCTGGTGGAAACTGGTAACTTCTGCTGTCTGAACATGAGAAACAGATAACCTCAAATAAACTAAACTAGACGGAACTACTTGTCATAGCAACTTACTTGTCGATGATTATATGAAAAAATGGCTGGTTTCTTGATTATTTAATATAATGCAACACACATCGAATCAACAGTATTCGCCTCAACGCTAAAATTCGACGGCTGAGTAGGAGGTAGCTCATTTACACGTCATTTATCCCGATAGGCCCAACCAAAGCGTGCCTACCGCAGCTCCTATATTGTCCAATTAAGCAGCGACTCGTTTGGCAATGGCTACGTGCTGCGGCTTAGTGGAGGTGTGGTGCGATGACTCCAGAACTGGCGTCCCTCATCCACCTCTCTGACACACCATATTGGAATTCAAAGAATGCGTCAGGTGGCAGTGGGTGAAGGGCGGGAAAGGTTGTGCACTGTTACAACCTGTGAGATTTCATGGGCAACCGACATTCCAGACTGGGTATCACACTTAGTTCGCAATCAGTTTTACCATCACCAATACCCGCAGCTTAGCTAGCAGGATAAGCCTCGTCAAATCGTTGGTGGCACCTATATGTGAAGTACAAAAGGACACCCTGTAAAATCGTACTTGGATCGCGCTGCTAACTATAATGCATAAATTATTCTGTTTAGGCACCGGGTTAAAATGTTCGAAGGGGAGGTGGATACGTGGGAGGATGCTTTACAGGACAACCAAACTAACAGCTCACTGCTACCATTCTCTTCCACTAAGGTAAGTTATTTTGAACAGAGACTATCAGCTAGTATGCAGTCCAGAGACACTGCAGAACGACACAGTGTTCATCCATAGCGGATAGCCTGAACAGTGGGCAGACGCAACGACCACTGACGACTGAACTAAGGGTTGGTCAAATAGTTAAAAAGGT